TCGGCTGTGAACCGGATCTAGCGGATCCGTCCGGGGATGAGCGGCAGCTTGGTTAGATTCAGCTTTGCTTGATTAGACCTAGTGTGTGCTCAGAGAGAGTTGGGCTAAAGGATCTGAAAGGGTTGTCTGCTGGTGGCTGCCTGCTGGGGTTGGCAAGCGTAGATTTGAAATGTCTGTGGATCTAGTGGTCTAATGTCTACACTAGAGCCAGTCAGGGCCTGGTGCCTTGGCCTCAGATACTGCATTTCTTACAGGAAAAAAAACAAAAGCATGTCAAGGCAAAGCTGTAGGAACTGCGTCACACTGCTGACGAACCTCTCGGCTGTCCCTGAAAATCGGTGTTTACCAGTGAGTGACTGTGCTGATGCTGAGTCCTCCTTTTTAAACTCTCTCTGCAGTTTTAAAGTCCTTCAACTTTAACGGGTGAGAGAATCGGCGGTTCTCAGCAAGGCACCAGCTGGGGAGGTGCATTCAGTTATCAATGCTGTATCCCCATGGGATCTTTCTATCCAACAGCCATGCTCTCACTGGCTGCGTCATAAATGACACGTCCTTCTATACCCTGGCTGCGTCTCACTGGCTGCGTCCTTCTATACCCTGTAGTATTTTTGTGCATCCCGATTTGGATGTAAACCAGGAGTAAGACTATTGTCCACAAAGGCAGACGCTGCTTTGCACTTGTTTGTCTTACCTTTGGCTTCTCACAGGAATATTCAGTATGAAAGGGAGTATCACATCTGCAATTTTACAGGAGCTGCACTTGGGAGATCTGTCCACTTCCACTGCGATAGACAACATCCGTTGGAGCAGGAGCATCACCCTAGGTTAGGCAGACAGTCAACACTGGGAGACACTATCCCTCAGCTGGATGGTAAAGCAGTGGGGGTGGCACCTAGTTCAAGCATGTGCCTTGCAGTGAGGGATGTAGGGGGAGCTAGCAGGTTAGAGCTGGTTAGCGTCCTAGAAAGCCCCATTGTGTCTTTTAGCGATGTTTAAATCCTATGCTCTTAGAAGAAAAGGTAATCCTCAGATGGGTCCCAGGTAGGTCCCTGTGGTGTTGATGGGGCAACGTGGGGCAGCCTGTGCGTGGTGTGAGGGCTCTGACCTTACAGTATGTGTGAGAGGAGGAAGCTCACTGAGCCAGTTTCCTGCCAAGTGAGGAAATCTCTCGCTCATCAAATCTACATCTGTCCCAGAGGAAAACTTCAGGTGCCTTCAGGCAGATAACCTTGGTCACAGGTACAACGTGGCTCCCGTGACTGGAGACCCTGGCTTCTCCCTGTCTTGGGCCCCATAAGCTAACAGGAGGGAGCCAGGACTTTTGGGGCTTACTTCTGGGAGAAGAAAGCTGGTGGAGCCGCCTCTGCCTGGTCAGTGGAGTCTGGCCATGCTGCAGATGAGTTGCATTCAGCCCTTGCTTCTGCCGTAGAGTGTGTCATTTCTTGTGGCTGCTCTCGGGGCTGGGAGAACCCGACTCCTGTAACTGCTGCAACCAACCATTCAACCACCTCCCTGGGACAGAAGCAGGAATGTTAGTGGGGATGGGCCTGGCTTTGCTGCGTTGTGATGTCTAGCTTCACTCATAGCTCCAGGAAAGACCTTCAGGAAGCAGGATGTGCCTCACCCGTTGCTTAGGCTGGCGAATAGCTCTGTTGAGCAGCGTGAGACTTACATGCTTGTCAAAAGGAGCGAATCCTTCTCAGGCCAGAACTGAGCAATGTAAACCTGATCTCATTCCTGGGAAAACACCTGCTAGGCTGTGGCTGGAAATGTTTTGCATTGTCTCTACTGGTTTGCTGTTGTAAACCTCCTCCTGTTCTTTAGACCTGAGCCCTAAACTTTTTTTCTGTCTCCCATGCTTGTTTCCTGGAAAGTCGGAACTGGAATCTCGACACATTCCCTGAGCCTCTGTCTCTCAGCATCTGGTTGGAAGGTGTAGGGGTGGGGAGGAGGTGCCCTTACTTGACATTGCTGAAGCACATCTCACAGGAAAGCACTTTCTTGGCAATCGACTTCTGCAGGAGGTGCAGCCTCAGGTTCCGCTGGAAGTCATCCTCCAAGGTCTGCACCACATACTCCAGGAACAGGAGTCGGCCAGAAGGCTTCTCCTGAGGGGAGATGCAGACGGTGTGAGCCTAGCAGAGCAGGAGGGCTGAGGAGAACTAGAGAATTTGGCTCTCTTGGGAATGGGCCAATTTACGTGATTGAAGAATAGCGTGTTTGTTCTCCAGGAGGGGCTACCTGGCCCAGCTGCTTGGCTGGACCTGCTCTACTATCGCGCTAGGGCTGTTGCCCTTGCAAGTCCCTCTAGTCCCTGTGTTTTCTTCAGATTAGACAGCCTGCCTACAGCTGTGCAGCAGTTTATGAAGCACCATGAATAAAATCAGGAGACACCTGGCACAGGCTGCCGTCAGCGACTACAATAAAACCAAATGTCGGGACTGGCCCATTCTGCAGCAGAGCAAGGGCTTGTGAGGCCCTGGGACATCACTCGGCTCTCAACACCGTGTACTGGGTGATCCCTGCCCGATGGTGACACATGCAATCAGGAACTGCCAGGTACCTGGTCTTCCATGGTATATTTCAGCAGCGTCCAGTCCCATCCCACTGTGGCGGCGTTGGCTGGATGGAGCCTGCAAGGACAGCACTGCCCATTTATGCTGAACTGCCCGACCATCTACCTGGAGGCAAAGTACCCCCTGCCCCAGCCCTCCCTCGCCAGCTCGCTTGCCCTGGGGCCCATACTGCCTTCTCTAGCACTGTCTCCTCTCTGGCCTGGTCCTCTCCCCTTCTCCTGCCCTGCCCACGTCGGTTCTTTGGAAGCGCCTGCCTGGGGGTGTGCTCTGCGGAGAGCACCGGCACTCCTGGGCCTGGGGCCTGGGGAAACGTCGTGCCTCGCTGCGGGAAACCCGAGTGCTGCACAGGTGAACTGCCCCTACCATCTCCAGCCCGTGGCTGCTGCTGCATCCCAGGGGAAGCGTTTCTGCCATGTCACTGCAGCGAAGAATGAGATCTGCTCTTCAGGAACAAGGCAAACACTGCTCTGACCTAGAGGACTCCCTGGTGTCAAGGCAATCCCTGAGCTCTGCTGGCTTGCTATAAAATGATTTAAATGCTCTCATGAAATAACTGGAGCTGCTTTCCCTATTGTTTCAGCATCCCCCGCCTCTCTCACCCCCATCCTTCCTCCACTTGGGACTTCAGAGGCTCCTATCTAGGCCAGTACTGGCCCTGACCCTCTCCAGCTCCCAGACAGCCTGGGGCTGTGTCAGTTTTGGTAACCTCTGTGAACAGAAGGCAGGGGCAGAAGCAGGATTGTCCTGGACTGTAGGGGAAATTGCTTCCTCTTTTTTGGGCACGGTACGCAGAGAATAGCCTTGGGGCTGGGCAGACCCCAGGGAGCATCAACCCAGCCCCAGGGCACCGTAGCTGAGGGAAAACATACATTTGGATTTTCATCAGCAGCATGTAGGTGTCCTTCAGGATCTCTCCCTGGTGGGATTTCAACAGGATCTGTCTAATCAAGTAGGACACGATGTCTTTAGGAGGGCAGTGCTGGCAGGAGACGAACTCACTCAGGAAATGCAATGTGCCCTCGAGGAAGTTCTCCTCAATGGTGGTGTGTACCATGCTCAGCTTCCCGCTGGGGATGAGCTCGGGTTTCCGCTGCTGCGTGCAAGGCAAGGCAATGGGTGAAAGGCGGCTCCCCATGGCCTGTGCGTACCTTGTATCTGCTGTGCACCCTCGCCCGCGATGCCCTCGCCCCGCACCCTAATGGCACGCGGTGTGCACAGTGCTGGGCAGCGCCCTGCTCCGGGGCTGCCTCACAGCACTGATGCCTTCGCAGGTAAGTCACAGCTGCCCTCCAGTTGTGATGCGTGTCCCACCGTTAAGGGAACTGCAGTAACCAGAGATCCCAACCGCCCACCAAAGCTTTCCCCCAAACAGGAAGCAGAGCAGGGGCTGCCCCTGCTTCCTGCTCTACCTCTCCCCCTCTGTGGGACCCGTCACCGAGCAGACTCCAGCTGGGCCTGGCAGCAGCTGCTCTGAACCCCGTTTACCTGCAGCGTTTCCCTGTCGGGTGCTATGTCTTGGAGGAAGAGGTGATGGACACCAGTCCTCCTGAAATACTGCAGTTTGTTCAGCCAGGCCTTGTTGTCAGCCCTGGTCCTGGCTGGGGCCACTTTCTGCATTGCTACACGCGGCGGCAGGTCTCTTGCTTCCAACAAAGGCCTTTTGGCTCCCGCCGGGGATGAAGCAACGCTGGCTGGCGTGGGGCTCAGGCCTGGGGGGAGCTCCCTTTGCTGGCAATTGGGGGGAGTCTCTTCCTCCGCGCCAGAGGCTCTCCAGCTGCAGCTGCTGTCCAGGCTGGAGGGGGACAGGGAGAGCTGGTCAGAGTCCAGCTGCATGCTGGCCAGGGAGCCCAAGTCACTGTTAAAAGTGGTGGTGCTGCAGTTCTGCCCAGGGCTGCGCGAAGAGCCTTGGCAGCTGGAGGCGGGAGAGAAGCCCCCTCTGCTCCCTGCACTTTCCGCTGAGTCCAAGGCGGGAAGGGGCTCTGCGGGGGCGCCATGGGAGGGCACTGCAGGGCTGGGCTCCACCGTCACCTCCCTTTCTTGCTTGGTGGGGAAGCAGAGCCTGGGCGGGGAGGCGCGTGCTGCCCGGGAAGCACAGCCTGCGGCGTCGGGAGGGCTGCATGGGTCCTCCTCCTCCGTCAGGTCGATGATGGTGAGGCTGGGGCGTGGTGCTGGCTCTGCGCTCGTCTCCTCGCAGGTCAGGTCGATGATCTCCTGTGGGGACAGAGGGGTCAGCGCTGTCTGCAATGGAGGCGCCCGGCTGCCTTGGGCCTGCCCTGCCAGGAGCCTCCGGTGCGTTGGCACTGCCCTGGCCCTCCCCGGCCCACGAGAGGGAAGATGGAGGGGAAGGGGCTGATCTGCACCCAGTGCAGGAAGAGAAACCAGGAGCAAAGACCCTGCTGCCTGGCGGAGGGGACGGGGTGGGCTGCGAGGTGGCAACCCCGAGCTCTGGTGTCAGCCTCCCCCAGCAGCACGGCTGGGCCCGGGCTTGGCCTGGGCCTCTCATCCCCGCTGCTGCCGGTGACAAGCCCTGCTCACCCGGGGGTGCCTTACGGCTGCGTCCTCTGCTTCAAAACAAAAACAATCCCCAAAAGCCTGGCGTGCAGCCTGGGGCCCTGGCTATGCTTGGCCCGAAGAGGCTCTGCCGAGCCTGGGGAGCCGGGGGACCGTCCCTTACAGTCTGCTCTGCCGAGCCTGGCCCACTCTAGTGGGTTTCTCCAGTGCCAGGAACAGCCACTGCTGCTGCGTTTGGCTGCAGAGCAAGGGGAGTTTGGGTTGTTCCCCCCTGCCCCCGTGCAGCTGCAGGGCAGACGGGAAGCAGCCGGAGCGGGCACAGGCGCTAGCTGTTCCCCGCTCGCTCCCCTAACAGGCTGGCTGACCTCGGCTCCCCCAGCCCACCCGCAGCGGGAAGCTTTGCCTCCACACCTCCGTCCTGGGGCCACGCAGCGCCGGGGTGGAGAGCTCTGCCCCTTCGTGGATCTGAACCTCAGCGTCCCCTGCGCTCTCCCCATAACGCTCGCTATCCCAGTCCCGCAGGAGGGGGCTGCAGCTGCGCGACAGAACAAGGAAGGCTTCGGCGGTCGGTCCCACGGAAGAGCTGTCCCAAGCGTGGGATGACGGTGACGTCCAGTGCCCCAGTGGGTCCCTCCCCGGCAGCAGGAGTTTCCGCAGGAGCCAAACGAGCTGCGCCGAGCTCCTTGGCAGGGCACGGCACCACAGCTCCCCCAGGCCGTGATACAGCACGTGCCAGAGATGTCTGCAAGCCCCCCCAGCATCCCCCTGCGGCACAGCCTCACCCGCTACGCGGACACAAGTGGAAGGGAATAGAGCTACCTTCACGTCCATGACACCAGACCAGATCTAGAGCAGCACAGAGACTTTGGGGGCTTCCCATCCAGGACTCGCCGGGCGATGCAGCCTCTTTAACCCCGAGCTCCAAAGATGTGCATCTACAAGGGGCCGCAGGAGCAGGCAGGGGGAGCACATCTGTGTCCGCACCAGGGGCAGGCAGGACACAGCACGTCTCAGAAGGTGCATGGGATCATTACATGCCCAGCAGGGGTCAGGGTCTTTTTGCTCTTGGAAAAAAATCACAGCGTCTCAAAACAGGAAAATGTTTTGAGAACATCTTCAAGAAAATCCATTTAAATCCATTTTGTTTTCCCTGACTCAGACCCGCTGCCTTTCCCAAGTTGGGGGCTGCATTTACTGTGGGGAGGTGACAAAACCCAACAGGCTTTGCTCGTTCAGGAAAAACAGCGGGACCAAACAAGCGTGGC